GGTGTCTCATGCTCATGTGGGTAGCTTGAAGGGGACACCGAGTTGAGAGTGTGTGTGGAGGCTGGGGGCACCAGTGGCTCTGTTTTCCTGGTCTCCACTGTCTCGCTCTCTGTCCTCTCATGTGTCTCTGCCTCTTGCTCTGCAGGATCAGAATCCTGGGGAGGTGGGTGGCGGTGCTGCTGGCAGAGGACCTGCCCCTGGGCCTACCTTGGGCTCTGTGCTAGTCTCACAGCGCCTGAGAGGCCCTAGGCATCCCGGTCACCACAGGGCCCTAGCCTGGCAGAGGCGCAGATGCTCCTCGGTACTCCTCGCCTCCCGTGTGAACAGTGCGGGGTGCCCTACCCCACCCCACCCACCCTCCTGCCCATGCAGCAGAGGCTCCTGCTCAGGACCTGCCACCAGGTGGAGCTGAGCCCCACGGTCTGCAGTCCTTGGCCGGCAGGGTTCCGGGGCTGGACGGAGGCTCTGCCACCGAGCATAGCTCATTTGCTCCAATCTCCTCAGTGATAGAGGCAGGATCTGGGGACCAAAGAGAGGAAGGGGGTGCAAGGTCACTTCAAGGACCAGGAGAGGCTGTGAGTACTCGGGAACACCTCAGGGCAGAAGCAGGGAGACCATGCAGGGCGCCACGGCAAGTAGGGCAGGCTGCTCTCTCAGCTACTGATGGGACAAGCGCAGCTCAGCGATGCAACACGCTTTGGTTGGAGGAGCCGGGGCGGGACACCTGTCCGCCTGGTGTGTGCGAACTGGGAGCAGCCACCACTCCCTGGCCTTGCTCTCTGTGCCCGGGAAATTGGGCCCCTGGCTGCGGTCGCCTCCCACCTTTGGGCACAGTTAAATGGGGCAGGAGGGATCCTGAGGGGTCCAGCAGGCTCAAGAAAGGAGAAAGAGACAAAGCTGGAGCTGGGGGCAGGGCTGGCAGAGGAGGACAGAGGCTTTCACAGACAGAATGAAAAGAAATGAGTTATTCCAGCGTGGGGAGGCTGGCAAAACTCCACTGAATGTTTAAACAATCCTGTCAATTATTCATCTCCCGGTATGAGGGCCGCTGGTCCGCTGCAGAGCTGCTCTGAACAGGGGAGGAAGAAGGGGAAGGAGGGAGGGAGGAAGGGAGAGGAATATACACAACTAGAGAAAGAGAGAAATGGAAGAGAGGTGTGCATGTGCGTGCATATGCGTGACAACCCTATGCTTGGATTTCTGGGCTGGAAGCAAAACAGAATAACGCTTCTTGAACAACCACTGAGCACCTCTGCTTCAGTTTATCCCAAGCACAGCCCACATTCTTCTCCAGGGAGCCTCACCCCCAACTACAGGGGGCTGACTTGGTGTCTTCCAGCAATGTGGGTCCACGTGGCAGTGAAGACACTGGCCCCATCCTGCCCCCTCACCTGCTCACGTGTCACCAGGTCTTTCCTTGAGTCTATCCCAGGCCACTAGTCATGTGGGGGTCATGGCAGATGCTGCCTCCTGGGGACTGTCCAGGCTCATCCTGCCCCTACAGAAGGCTGGGCGGTCTGGTTTTCTCCATGCCTGGAGCAGTGAGGACCCGGGCACGCAGGGTGGGTAGGTGGGAGGGGGGCTTCTGTGGGTGGAGCCCCTCAGCTCACCTGTGGCAGCGCTGGTGTAGGAAGACAGGAAGTGGCTCAGGAGTGGGGCTCAGCGTGTCTAGGCGTGAAGGGGTGTTTGGAGAGCTGACACATTTAGAAGGACCCCAAAATTCCCCCCTCACACCTACTCAGCCGCTGTTTCTTCAGGGCAGATGTCCTGAGCTGCTCAGAAGGGAGGCGCACGCTGCCCCTTAGTTCTTGGAGCCTGGTGCCCACACTGGACCTTGGCATGCCTGCCCTGGACCGGAGCCTAGCACCACAGGATAAAATGGCACTCAAAGGGCCTGTGGCGAAGCCAGGTGTCAGGAGACAGGAAGAAATGGCTGAGTTTGGCAGGGAGCCCAGGTTATGTTGGTGGGCTGTGGGTGCCGGATGGGCAGATCTGGGGGTCTTGGCACAGAAAGGCATAGATGCACCCCCTCCGCTACCCCCAAAGTGCTCCATTCTTCACAAATTGTTCTTTTCCTGCTAAGCTGAAGTGGACTCTGGAGGGAGGCAGAGATGCATGGCTCGGAAGGCACTGTGGGTGTAGACACAGACCAGGACTGGGGAGTCAGGAGAGACTATGGGCTCATCACCTAGGCCATGGCCAGGAGCTGAGAGCGCCTTGGCTCACGGTCACTGCCCACCGCTGCATGTCTCTGCATGGCTTCTCCTGCAGGCTCCGCCGTGTGACCACCCCCAGGGACATGTCTGGGAGTCACAGGCTTGTGGCGGGGCCACCGCTGCCCACATGGGTCCTGGCTCCTCTGGGATCTTTCACTGCTCAGTAAATCTGTCTATGGCTCACACTGAGCTCTGAACTCTCACTCTGCCCCATGCTTGCAGCCTCCTGCACGGCCATTGCCCTACACTACTAGGTGACTTCTGTGCTCCTGTGCCCCCTGGCCATGTTCTGTTGCTTGTCACTCTGCCTCTTGGTTGCAGGAGTCCAGGCATCGCTATGTAATTTTGCTTGGTTGCTATGGTATGGTGACCCGCGGTTGTGCGGCTACCTGTGATTGTCTCGGAGCTGTACACAGTTGCTACCCGCCTACGTGCTGCTGCTGTCATGGGCTCCGCTGGCCCTGCAGAAGGATGTGTGTGTGTCTGGATCCTGGCTTTGTCCTTTGGGTTCTGGCCAGCAGATGGGAACCGAGGTCCAGTACCCAGTGAGGGCAAAGTGTCTGGGGGGACAGCCAGCATGGCAAATCTGAGTGTGAGGGGCACAGAAAGAGGAGGAAGGGACCGAACTGGGGGTAGGAAAGAAAACAAAGGATGGAACCAAGAGTCAGGAACCAGGAGGGGAGGGAGGGATGGGGCGGGCCTAGACCAGATGGGTGGGCAGAGATGGGGGAACTACACCCTGAACACTGTGGGTGTGTCCGAGGGACGTGATAGTGACAGCGTGCAGGCCTCTGGAGCTGTCAGGGCTTCCTGGGCTGGACTCACAGCAGCATGGGAGGGGCAGGTGAGTAGCTCCACACCACCACCTCACGGCCACCGCAGGGAGGAGGAAGGGGTGGGGTGGGTTCTCCTAGGGTCCCTTCTGATGTCCTTGCTGTCCAGTCAGGGGTTCTGTGACATTGTCTAACAAGCATTTGCCAAAGTGAGTGTGGGGTCAGGCCTGTGCAGGGCGTTGCAGCCCAGAGAGGGGACAGGCACTGTGTGCATTAGTTCAGGGCTGGGTAGCAGCAGCTGAGGGATGCAACCCAACAATGAACCAGCAACCAGTCTTTGGAGCTTTGCCAAGTGTCCAGCACCTGGCAAGAGGAGGAACTGAGGACCTCCCTCTGGATGCATGGCCCCCAGATGGGAGTGCCAGGGTGACACCCAGGGTGGACATGCTGGGGTGCTCACCATGGGGCCCAACTTACTCTGCAGGGATGGAGCAGCCCGAGCCTCTCTCTATGCCTCAGGCCTCCCAGAATTCTGTGCTGGGGTCGGAGGCCATGTGTCCCCTCCTAGTCTGTCACTCCCATGGGTTACTCTTGCTCAAAGACCGGCCCTGCTCATGGCCAACCTTGACATCCTGGCTGCAGTCTGGTCCCCTCTTGTCTAGGTTAATCCTTAAGAGAACATCAAGACTGATGGTACAGAGGCTGGGGATTTAGCTCAGTGGCACAGCGCATGACTGGCAAACGCAAGGTCATGAGTTCGATTCCCGGTACTGGAAAAAAGCCAAAAAAAAAAAAAAAAAAAAAAGACTGATGGTGTACTGCCTGTGTGATCACACTGTTCTTTTGGATATTTTAAAAATACAGATGCATTGCCCACCCATCACATACATCCTATATCTCCAGGCTTTTTCCTCCCCAGCTCTACTTTTCCCTCCTTCCTACTCCTATTAGTAGTCTCATCACGTTTGATAAACATAGCATGACTCCAGCCAGCCCATTCCCCTCAACAATCCACAGTACTGAGTTGTCCATAGCTGACATCTCCTGCATAATCCAGGCCCTCAGACCTGTGGCCTCAGACAGACTCTGGATTCTTTGCCCAGCAGACACCAGGCCTAGGATCCTAGCCAGAGGGAGCTGCAGAAATGGCCTGAGAGCTGTGGCTTCGACAAAAGGCAGTGGGGTCACTTGGCGGGGGCATTCCCGGGCCCACCCAGCAGCAGTCATCCTTGCTTTATGTGCCATGGTGTGTGTCTCAGAGGGTGCACAGGTGCAAGGGTGGGTGAGGAGGTTCTCGGGGGTCAGGGGTAGATCCCAGAACCAGGAGGACCTGGGCTTCCTTTCGGCTGGTGGGCTTGTCTGGGGCCTGTTCTCAGGGTCTTTGGAGCATTGTTTCCCATGGGACCCACTGGGGAGGAAGAGAGGGAACCATGCGTGGGGTCCCCAAGGGTACTTGGGGTGCTACCTCCACTGAGGACTTGGGGCTGTTGTTCGGGCAGCCTGTTCTTTAGCTCTCTGCACCAAGGGGCTGAGACTCAGGGCTGACCCCTCCACACGCCAGCTTCCACGGTCAGCAACACAGGAAATGCTATCCTCTTTTCTGTGAGCCCGAACTTCCTCTCTAACAAGTTTCAGATCATCTCTGGGCACTTCCCATGACCCAGCGGACACAGTCCTGAGGGATTTGGGACAGTGCTGCAGGGGCCTGTCCCAAAAGAAGCCACATGAGAATCTGCAGCTGAGTGTAGTGGTATACACCCATACACCCAGCAACTGAGAGGCTGAGGCAGGAAGATCACCACAAGTTTGAGACCAGCATGGTCTACATAGTGAGTTCAAGGCCAGACTGAACTACACGGTGATGTCCTGTATCAAAAAACTGAGAAAATTAAAAAAAAAAAAAAGAAAGAAAAGAAAAAGGAAGGACCCCTGCCTTCCGTCATGTTCAGGGGGCTCTGGAGCTGCATTCCCCAAGGCTCTTGCGGCTGCTGCTGGGGGGGCGGGCACTCACCATGTCACGTGACGTGATCTCAGGCTCCTCCTCTACTTCCTGAGAGGTGGATGCGCTGGAGTCCGTTGAGCTCACGGAGGACTTGAACCAGGGTTCACGGATGGTACCCAGCTTCTCATCTAGGATCTTGGAGTCCAGGGTAGGCAGCGTCTTGCTGTTGTTGGGTGTCAAGAAGTTTTCAGGCCTCTGAGAAGATGCAGAGAAACTTTGGCTGGGCGCTTTCTCTGTGCCTCTCAACACCCCAAGCCTTCCATCCTCGTAGCTCAGGACACCTGCTCTCTGTCTACTTCCTGCCACCGCCCCCACTCCACTTCCAGCTTGTTCACTGGGCTCTGGCCTCACCATCCTACTGTTCCTCTTCCTGCCTCAGGGCCTTTGTGTCTGCTTTTTTCTACCTGGAAGGCCTCGTGGAACTTTTATGCTGTCCTCATCATTCAGACCTCAGCCCAGACACCATCTTCTCTGGGAAGCCCTGCCCATGGAGATATGGATCCCCATTCTACCCAAAGTAACCCCACTGTCAGAGTACTCTATTCATAGCATCCCATTTTACTGCACTCATAGAGCTTACTCCACAGGAAAGCTAACTTTCACAATATGGGTTTAATTGTTAACTGCCTGCCCTCCCCCACCCCTGCAATTCTCAGACTCTGATGATGTAGGTTCTATGTAAGCAAGGACACTGTTTACCCCAAGGTCTGGCTCATAGTAGCTGCTCAACAAACATATATGGGTGCTCGATAAGTTTGCCACCCAGGATGCCCTCCTCAGGGTAGTAACAGCTTCCAAAATCCTCTCACCCTGTAGGCACCTTAGGCCATATAGACTTGTTTCCCTTTCATCCCCTCTCATCCTCCAATCTTGTTCTGAAATCTGATCCTACTCAGACCCCTCCTCCACAGGAAGCCTTCATATCTCAGCCTACAGTTGCTTGCAGTTATTTCTGGGTTCTGTCAGTCTAGCAGCTGGTTATCTGTGCTTTCACATTGCTCTTTAATCCCAGACTTGCTTGCTATTTTCTTTAAACAAGATTTTAAGTTCCTGGGGTTTAGGGACATATCCATGCTCCCTTTGGAAAAAGTGACGGTAAAATTTGCTTGAAATCCATGGTTAGTTTTAATATCTGCCCACTGAAAAACCATGCATTTGTAGGGATCTCAAAATTGACTCAGTCCCACCTCCCACCAACCGTTGGAACCCTCCCTCGGCCACATAGCACACATGTTATCCCTTATCTAGAGTGCTGAGGTAGATCAAGGACAGCAATAAGCACAGTGACAACCAGGACGGGTGTGCTCAGGGTTGGAGGTGCCCCAGGGTCTGACCCTGAACCACCAGAGATTGAATGAGGGCAATGGACCTCTCTGTAGGTGGACATTTATCTGCACTTATGAACACGATGAATGGGGAGGACAAAAGCTCTTCACTTTACCACTGAGATCCTCTAAGTAATTCCTGTATGTGCTCTGAAGTTTGGTGTGCAGCAATGCACGAACATGGAGTCTGCTCAGGCTTGGATCAGTAGTATAAGGGACAGGCATACAAGAGCATGGAATCACCCAGTCAGAGCTGGGTCCCTGTTTCTTCCCTGTCACATGGGGACGGAAATAGAGCAAAGAGAAGGCAGCTATGAAAAGACTCTGGGAATGGGAAGAGGAAGGCCTGGGTGCCCGAGAATGACTTTGGCAGGCCAGCTACTGCGTGTCCTAAACAAAACTCTGGGCATGTTTCATCCAAGTGCACCAGGCCTGGCTATTTGCTCTACTTGCTCCTCTTGGTAGCTGCAGGTTAGAGGATGCAGGGTTTACTCAGAGGCTTCCCAGGGTGTGAAGCCTTCTATCTCATGAATACACCTAGGTCAGCACCTGCATCACACAGGCGGGGTTTCCTGTGTGTCTAGGACAGGAAGTAGTACCATATCTGTCTCCCAGTCAGAACTGCTGAATTCCAGACTGGGACAGAGGGACAGGTATGATATGCATATTCGATGGATGGATGGATGGAAGAATGGATGGATGAAGGAATGAAGGAGAGAATAACAAGCCAGGGTAAAGACTGCCTCCTCATTGACCAGGTGGCCCCTGAGGCCAGGGTGAGATGCTGATTCAGGACCTGTAATGACATTTCTCCTCATTTCCAGGCAGAAAGCCAATCTCAGTGCCCTGGATTTCATAGACTGCCATCTAATTCAGTTAGAGGAGGAAGTAGAAGTAATGAAATCACGGGAGCCTGCAGAGGTGCCCCCATCAGTTCTGAAAGCAGGGACAATTGTCGAGGGAGTCCCCTCCCCCACAGCCAGGCTCCCTGATGTCCACTCTGCATGGCCCCAGCAATTCAGTGACCACAACTGAATTTTACTGAGCCTCTCGTCAGACCCAGGCACTTGTCAAGTTCTTTCTTGTAGAATCCATTACATTTTATCCCAAAGCTGAATTAAAAATGAGGCCAGCCCTTAAGTGCAGACCAGTGCTCTCACCCCATCAGTTACTGGAGGGCGGGGTACCTGAGGCGGTGGGAAGAGGAGTCGGAGTGTCCGTGGGCTTCATGTCACCCCAACCCAGTGTCTTCCTGCAGCCCTCTAGGCTCAGTGGCTCCGCTCCACTCTGTCCTCCCTCATGGCTGGCCCTGGCCTGGTTTGCTTGGTGCTGTCACCTCCCACCCCCAAGGGTCTCTTGTGCACATTTCCAGCCCCTGTCTCATCCAACTGCCAGAGTCTGTCCTGGCTTGGGGTTTGGAGGTGAGCGGGGTGGATGAGTTTTCTGAAAGCGTCTTTATGCCTCCAAGCAGTGTAGGTCTTGCAGGGGAGGCCAGAGGCAGTAGCTTTCATTGTGTGAGTTGCGGGACCAGGTGGACCATTGTACCACCTCCCACAGCACCCGGATTCTCCCAACAGTTCCCTTTCTTTAGGGCTAGCATCGCCTCCCCTGGCTCCGCAGCTTCAGTGTGCACATGTTTGGGGAAGGAGCTGACCTGAGACCACAGGGAGGGGCCAGACTGCTGAGGGGTGAGGAGGGAGGGAGAGTTGGAGATGAACCCTCTCAGATAAATGCCCATTTTTGCCTTTCTGCCCCCTTCTTGAGTGCAGTTGGGAGCAGTGCTGCTGGCCCACCCTACAAATTTGTTTACTTGCTTGTCTATTTGGCAGGCTCTGCCTCACTTGCTGGGGCAGCTTGGGGCTGACAAGTGGCCCCTGGCTCTGTAGCTCCGTGGCTGCAGCACATCCTGCTTCATTAGGGCATTAATTGGAGGCTGACTTTGAAAACTCAAAGCCATGCACAGCCATGCACAGCCATGTACTTGCTCAGACTCACTGCCCCGCCTGCCGCTCCTGCTGCTGCAGCTGCCCCCACACTCGTGAGCGCTGAGGTAGAGAGAAGACGCCCCTTCCCCACGCCTCTCGGCCCTCACCGTTGCCAGCAGAGACGGACAGACCAGGCCAATGGCATGCTAGGCTGGCAGCTTCATAGGTCACCTGTCTCCCTCCTCCCCCCTAGCATCTCTGCCTCCCTCCTTCCTCCTCCATCCCCTAGATCCCTGGTCATACAAAATGCAACAGCTTCAGCCTGCCAGGGCAATTAGGGAGTGACCAGGCCACAGCTGTTGTCCTTGGTGCTGAAAGTGCCCGCCTTCCGGCCTGCCCGCCTCTCGCCCCGCCCTGGGCCTCCTAGCTGGAGAGCACATGCTCTTAATTCAATTAGCTGGCCCTGAACCTTCCCCAGGGAGCCCGGAGCGGAAACTGACAAATTCTGTTTAACAAAGACATTTGTCCCTCGCCCCGCCGGCTTTGGGCTCTGCACTCCTGTATCCCGTTCATTAGGTATCTAACAAAGTGCGTCCCAAGAAATCTGCTTCCAATCGCTAGTAATTCAGGAGGCCTGATGCAATTTTCTCCCTGATAAGGGTGTCTCACCCGCTGGCAAGCGCCGTAATGAGCCCTGTGCAGCAGCTCCCTGATCAGTTATTGCTTTGTCATTTCCTGTGGCCACAGTGGTAGTGTCTTATCTCTTCTGTGGTAGGCGAGGCTCAGACAATGGGATCCCTCAAGAGGACTGCACCCTCCCCTGCATACTGCAAGCTCATTTGTGGCATCTTGCATGGTCTTGCAGCTGTGGTGAGTCTGTCCCCCAGTCAAGAAGGGCCCAAGCGTTAATTCTCCATGGGACCATCATTTATTGCCTAGAAAAAGGTGTCAGAGGGTTAATCCAAAAGCAAGTTGTGGGGTCAGGGGAGGGAAGCCACTGATAAAGATTTTGTCAGGGGTTTTAGGATGAAACAGAGTCTTGCATGTAGCTCTGTGGATGTGCTACGGACTCTTGTTAGTCTGAATACTGCTCTTGCTGTATTTAATCTTTGTTTTCCTTTAGAGTCCCCTGAGTCACATCTACAGAGACCTTTATAACCTATATGTCAGACTACATCCTACTGCTGTTTAAGGGCCTTCCTTAGCTTCCTATCACTTTGTAGCAAAGTCCAGATCCTATACCCTGGCACCCAGGCCCTTCACAATCTGGGCCCCATCTGAGTCTCTAGTCTCACTGCCCATCAGAGCCTCCATATGTCCAGGGGCTCCAGACACTGCCATGCTGCCACCTCATTGCACATGCACGTTTGCCTTATGCACCTTTGCCAGTCAATTTCCATGCCACAGTAAGGCAGTGCTCAAACCATGCCTCTTTGTGATGGTCAGTGCACCTGCCTCAGCGAGGACTCTCTTAGCAAGATGGGTGGTGATAATCTGTTGGAGCACAGACAAGGACAGGTTAGGGATCTAATCAATGGCTGATGACCTGGTTGGCTGAAGACAGGTAAGTCTAGGGTAAGGAGTGTCTGGCTTTGAGATGGGGACAATCCCAACGCTATCCACTGCTTTCTGAGACATCTGGTCTGGATGCTTCTGCCTCCTCTCTTCTTTCCCTCTCCCTTCTTTAGTCTCACAATGATGCATTGGGCTCGTAAGGTGAGCAGAGTGGGGTGAATCTAAATATCCAACCATCCTAACACCTGGACCTTTCTGTGTGGTCTCTGAAGTGAGTTGCAGGCTCACAGTCCCAGGCAGCACAGGCTCCTGTGGAGGATGTGGGTAAGATGAGCCTGTAACAGCCCTCTGGAATTCCTAGCAAGTGGAAGCAGCATAGCTCTTAGAAGCAGGCCTTCATTTCTCCATGTTCTGCATAGCTCCTAGCTCA